ACCTTCGAAAAAAAGGTGTATACACTAGCAGTATGCATTGACATCGAAGGCGCTTTCAACAACGTCAGCACAGATACACTCATCCAATCCTTAGACAGTTTCCATGTCGCTCTACCTCCTGAGATAAAGCATTGTCTACATAGGTCTTTGTTTCAAATTTCGTATTTAGAGTTCGTGATAGTAGAACCTATAGTTAGAACATTGAATATATTGAAGGCGTTTTTCTGCTCCTGCTCGGGCGTCAATTAGTAATGTTCAAACAAAAAACAAAAAAACCTTGCTGTGAAAAAGATCTGCCAATAGAACTTGAGTCGAACCTGGAGAGTTTCTAGTGTATAATTCGCATATGCTAATTTGCAATATGTTCGAATTATATACTACTTTCCAGAGAACGGCCCTTGTAAGCCATCATCCACACCAAATATGCCTGATGAGCCGCTTAACCAACGGCGAAACGCGTCGCATAGTGGTGAGTGTGTGATAGTGTCTATCTGGCTTTCCTTTTCACTGCAAATTTCAGATCATTAAGCTCGTCTCGAAAGAGAAAACAAACACATAATTCATAAAACATATGATCTTCGCCTTAACAAGGCAAAACTCAGTAATGTTAATGTTTTATTTAAACAAACATAATTTCTTATAGATTATCTTTTGACTGTGTAGCTTTTTGGCACTTTTTTATTGTTGGTAAGGAACACAGTTAATGTTATTATTATGCTTCTTTATTACTTGTAAGTAAAGCAGATATACACATCACTTGAATTGTGTAACCTTGGAATGTTTACAATTTTTTGTAATATACCAAGAATCTTTATTTTCGCTTGGTATTTATACATTTTGGATATCAATACAACTAGCGTTAAATGCAAAGCAAGGAATAAAATACTTCAGCCAATAGCCATGCAATTGTGAAACCAATCAAGTTGTTTCTTTATTTGGGTTAATGACTTGCTTAAAATAAACACTGAAACCAAAATTTTATTAGGTCAGTTATATGCTGACACAGAACAAAACTATTAAATAACAAAGACTAATAATAATATGTGTAAAAATTATGTTCTTTTGAACATTCTCCCCCACGTTGAACGAGGAACGTTCAAGAAACTGTTGGAAGTTCTGTGGTGACGAAACTTGACAGTGACGTATATGGCTACTCCAATTCCAGTGCAAAGAGGTAGATAGCTAATGGTATGATGGTGAATGGCCGTCGATTCCATTAGTTGCGGAAGGCGTCCGATTTCAATAGTTTCTAGCTGTTGGTGTAAGGTTACGGGTTCAGCAGCATGTATTTCATATGTGCTGTTTAATGTTGTGTTGAGCAAGACAAACTTACTGCATGAGATTATGAAATCCAGTGGCTTAAGTCTCAGATATGATGTCTGCACTGTTGTTTTGTTTTTGTAATGACCGTATATTGTAAATGTGTTGTCTTTGAAAATACAGTCAGGCACAATTTCTAAAGATCCAGCTCCTTGCACCTCCAGGTGAGTCATTTTTGTACAACAAACAAAGGACAATTCTGTTAAATTGGATAGAGTAAACATCCATGTATTCTTTTGTTCCCCTTGTCTCCAAGTTTGGTGGTGCATGGTTGATTCCAAGAAATAAGAAAATCATCTCGCATACATGTGACGGTTCGCCTTTGCTAAACTTCGCTTGGTTGTCGCAAATGAAAACGTCATTTGTGGTATGTATGCAGCTGTTCATTTTATCTGCTGTTAGAGATATGAACTCATCCCGATCGACGTTAGCTGCCAATTATGTTGATTTCAAAGCTATTGAAATAAATCGACCGGATCGCAGCATAGATACGGGGATCATTTCAATCATACAGCTGGAGATCCACTAATGGAAGGCGAATCTCGAATATGATATGGGTTTTCATAACCCTTCCCTTACTCCTCTTTTATTTGAAGAAATCCGGCACAGTATCTTCACGAATGAGTAGAGTACGAGATGGCGGAGTATGAGCCTTGATGGTTTGGAGCTCTAATAGCAATTGATGTGGAGTAAGTAGCAATAGGCTTATCCGACCATGAAGAGCATCCGTTAAAACGTCGATTAGGTTATCTTATATATGTTTCAACTTTGATGAGAGTAGCATGAGCTGCAAAGTGAGGAACATAATTGATTGTGTTTATTTAACAACATCTTCCTCTTTCTTCACTTTATTTGCCAAAAGGTTCATTTCTACTTGCATGTTGCCGAAGTTCCTTTGACTCGCAACTTCGTCCTTTCTGATTATGTTGATTGTTGAGTCAATAGTAGATGTCTGATTTTTAGAAGATTCAACAGATGTTGGTTGTCTTCATTTGCCGTCTCAATTGTCACAGACACCAAATAACGAGTGTGCGACTATGTTCAGAGCTCCTCGCCTGCTGCGCCTGGGAAATATGTTCAGTGTATTAGATTCCAATTGATTCTGTACTTAAATGAGATTTTCTGAAAGTATCTCACAGCTTCTGTTCTCAACTGCTATCTTACACAACTTCTGAAGCGTTCTTTTCCCGGTAGAAAAGCCATCCATACATCCATATCTGCCCAAAATGGGGAAAGATCATAATTAGTGATCAGTTTCCACTCTGCTGTTACCACTTTTGTGATTTCAATTCCTTCAAAATAGATTCCGGGCTTATTCTCAAACTTGTGTATGTTGAACGAATGACACAAGCATAGAGGTAAAAATAGTAAAACCACAAGCATCAGCGATACTAGCATGCTGCTTGACGTCTTCAATCGCTTCGGAGATGGCCCTTCACTCCTACTCTTGGTGTCTATAGGCGGAAGAGGTTCCTTTTCCCATAAAGGTTATGGTTATTTTGGTTATGGCTCTTTTAATTTCGCCGCTTTGTGTCTTTACGTTAACTACACGAACAGCTCCATCGTTGCCCTTATATGTTCGGGTTATTCTGCCTAGCGGCCCTTGCATTACAGGCATGTTATCTTCCTTAATAATGACCAATTGACCAGGTTCAACGTTTGGAGATGGTGTACTCCATTTCCTTCTTTCTTGCAGAGTATTTAAGTATTCAGTGGACCAACGTTTCCAGAACTCATGCCTAATTTGCGATATTACCTTCCATCTGCTTGTCAATGATGTTGACGATTGGTTCGCTGATGGGTCAACCTGTGCCGTTAACGGGTCTCCCACAAGAAAATGACCAGGTATTAATGCAGCTAGATCATTTGGATCATCAGAAATAGGAGTTAACGGTCTGGAATTCGGAATTGCCTCTATTTCAATAACAATTGTCTCCAACTCTTCGTGGGTTAATGATGCACTACTAGTGGTGCGAAGCAAACAGTTGCTTCGCTGACTTAACTGCGGCTTCCCATAATAAACTGGAAATCGATCCCTTCTCTTGAGCACGTCTGCGCTATTATCTTTTTGCCTTTCTCTCCAAAGACAGCCTCATTGAATTCGTCGAGCTGATTTTTGGCTCTTACAAAGTTCGTCGCATTGTCTAAGGTTTGACATTTCCCTCGCCGAGAGATAAATCTCTTCAATGCTCCAATGAATGCTTCCGTTGTAATTACGTTCCGGTCTGTAATTACTTCCAAATGTACAGCCTTTGTTGTGAAGCAGACAAAGACAGCGATGTAAACAATGTGTGGTCTCTTGTCTCGTATTTTGTAGTGGACCCATAGTGGTCCGCAATAGTCAACGCCGGAGACAATAAAAGGCCCTGCAGGTGTGACCCTGCTCGGTGGGAGTTTTCCCATGATTTGGTTGTATAACTTTGGCTTCGCCCGGGTGCACCTTACGCAATTTTGCACCATGTTGCGAGCCATAGCCTTCCCCTTAATTATCCAATATTTTTGCCTTGACGTTGCCAGCAATAGTTGTGAGCCACAGTGGCTATTCTCTAAATGGATCATGCTTTGAATGAGTTTCACAATTGGATCGTTGTATGGTAACAACATCGGGTGTTTTGTGTCTTATGCTAAGGTTGCCTCTTCCAACCTGCCACCAACGCTAAGTATTCCTCTGTCATCAAGAAAGGGAGTCAAACTATGTATGGAGCTTGATTTGTCCAATGCTCCATGTTTCTTCAACTGCTGAATTTCTTTCGCAAAATCCGCCACCTGTATGGTCTTGACTACTAGTTGCATCGCCTGATTTAACACCATAGGTGTCAGTACATCTGTCGAACTTCCAAGCTTGTGTCCCTTTATCCTTTCGGCAAATCGCAGGACATAACCGACAATACGTTGTAATCGTCTAAATGTACCCTTGTGGTTGGTTCCATAGATTATATCCTGTAACCCACTCTGTGACACAATTGCTGATACTGTAGATATTGTCTTGAATTCAAGATCAGACTGATTTTCTATATTCTTTAAGAAGCTTCGGGCCAGAGAGGTTCCGAATTGATATAGTACAATGTAATCTCTGAATCCGACCAATAAATAGTCTGTAGATCTTCATAACCCAATTCGGCCTGGACTTTAGCAGTAAGTTTTGCCCCCCAATTCAGCGGCATAAAGCTCTAACTGTGGCAAAGTGATCTCCTTTATTGGTGCTATTTTTGATTTTGAACAAAGGAGTCTGACTATATGCCTGCCGCCTGGCAGCATAGCCCGAAGATACACCACAGCACCATATCCCTTTTCTGACGCGTCCACAAAAGTATGTACATCAATTTTTGTTGGTTTCTCTCCATCAAACATGTGTCTGGGTAACTTGAAATCATTTAACATCTTCAGGCTTTCTCTGAACGATAACCAATATGCTGCCCTTTCTGCTGGCAGTTCCTCGTCCCAGCCAATTGTATCCTTCCTCAGTTTATCCATCCACAGTTGCTGAATAAAGATCTTCGCTGCTGACACCACAGGACCTGCAATTCCTAAGGGGTCGAACAATCTTGTCAAATCCGACGTGACCTTCCGCTTGGTGACGATAGTGCATTCATTCACATCACTCTTCAAGGAAAATCGGTCTGCTTGAGGAATCTATGTTTATCCCAAAACCTTGGTTGATGACTTGTAAAAATTTAGATCTACTCTCTATCTTCTGGAGGAACTCCATGCATCAATTTCAAGTGGTAAGCACACCATTTTCGTAGTCTAAATCCAGCTTCCTGTAGTAACATATTAACCTGTTTCTGTATCTCAATTGTCGTTGATGCAATTGTCAACGTAGCCAGCGCCCCCAATGGATATTTTTGCAAGTTTGTATCTGCTAGCCATTTTAGACATCTTGTAGCAAGATAAGGGGCACACGTCGTACCATATGTTAACATATTTAACATGTAGTGTTCGAGTTCCTTGTCTGGAGTGTTTCTCCATAGGATAAGCTGATATTTGCGATCTGTTTTGTCGACTAGCACTTGTCTATACATCTTCTCAATGTCTGTTGTAAAGACAAATCGCGGCAGTCTAAATCGCAACAGCATTCCAAACAGATCTCCTTGAACCCTGGGGCCTGAATGCAAAATATCATTTAGTGACCATCCAGATGATGACTTGCAAGACGCATCGAACACAACCCTCAGCTTTGTTGTGTTGTTATTTGGGCGTAGGACACAATGATGCGGGATATAGTAATGATTACCACGCACATCTCTTGATTGTATTTTCGTCATATGTTCTAGATCCTCATACACCTTCATAAATTTAGCATACTTCTCGTGAAGACTTGCATCCTTAGATAAGCGACGCTCCAACGCAAAGAATCTTGATTGTGCAATATTCAGGGATTCGGAAATCTTCTCAGGGCAGTCTGCAAACGGTAATCGCACCACAAACCGACCATTCTCATTTACTGTTCTATTTTGGTTAAAGTGATTTTCACACTGTTCTTCTGCTATTGTCATCTTCTGATCTTCACAAACATCGTCTTGTTCCCAGAACTTCTTTAATAAATCTTCTAGAGCACGTTCATCTTCTAAGAAAACGACGCATGTCACAGTTTCCGATTCAGCCTGAACTCTTCCACTAGCAATCCACCCTAGTCTTGAGTTCTTCAATATAGGAAGTTCCTTGGACATTCGAAGTTCCTGTGGGAGAATCAGGTTGAAGTAGAACCCTGCTCTAAGTAGTACGTAAATCCTGGCCGTTTGATAAAAATAGGGATCTGCTAGCTTTATGTTTTCTGGAATAGGCCATGATGTGATATTGATGTCAGTGCTAGGTTGGGGTGGCACTATATTTGGTAATACGAAAGGACCCTTTGGCTTGCGGTTCTCGATCTTCCGCCAACACCTTCGATACAGAGCGATGCTTGCATGGGTTTATTTTAATAGATATATTTTAACGACCAATGTGTAATTTGATACGAGTACATAGATTTGAATAACTTTGCACAAAATATTCTTAGCTGGAAAGCATATTATTGTGATGTTGCATTGACTACATAAATACTACAATAGCTAAAATCAATGGATTAAAATACGAGTTGCTTGACCACCAACCTTATTCTCATTATTTAGCTCCCAGTGACTTTTACTTGTTCCCAAATCCTTGCTGGCAAGCGTTTTACCTGAAGATGCAATTAAAGTTGTAAACCACTATTCTGAAGACCTTAAGGGAAACTATTTTAATCAACGTATGTAATTGTTAGAAAAGCGTTGGACTAAGTGTATTGAAGTTTCAGGAGGAGAAGTTTCGCTTGTTTTTAGTTTTTTATTATTATTTTTTTCTTCCAACTCTTTATTTTTTGTTTTAAATGATTAGATGGTTTCGTATTTCTTTGTAGAAGTGTGCGTTGTTGTTGGGATAATTTGCTGAAAAATTTAAGAATGTATTTGAAGTCTACAACAAGAATATCTTTTTTATATCGAAAAATGGTTCATCAAACTTCAACATAAACAAACAAAATGTCAAAATAGACAAAAATCAATATTGTGTTAAAAATGGATATTTCTACACAAACTGTAAGTATTTACAGGTAATTAAAAATGTAGAAATTTTTGTGATCGGTGGAACACTGCTGCTTCTATTGCTCGATTCCTCCCAACAGCATCAAAAACACCTCCTTGCTTACTCGAAAGTTGGCAATAAATCTAAATAAACGATTTGGCATTTTTCACACAAAAGTTATGGTCCATTTCATCCGATTCTGAGTCCCTGCTCTAAACTCAAAATTCCACGACGATTGGCCTATAATTATGACCAGAGACTGCAAAGTTTGAAATTCTGACCCTATCCCTGATTTAACGCCAAATTTCCTGACGATCGGGGTCATAATTTAACCTCTAGCTTGATTACTAAAAACATGGATAGACGTACACACATATGTTGTAAAATCCACACAAACGTTTGCGGCATCACGCAACCTTTTGCAATTAGATTGATATTTCCGTCACCCCCATTTACACCTTTATTTAGAATGGAAACTTCAAAACCAACGGAAGCAATAATTTTTAGAAATATTAACAAATGTTCATTTTGGAAACATAAAACATTTTTGACAAAAGGACAGTTGGTAAAATGAGACGAAAAAAGTAAATGAAGTGAAATAAAAGCTTTATTGTCTGTTTAAAAATTGTTTTTCTGCCTTAAACAAAAGTGTTGATAAAAATTGTAAGAAAACAACTTTCCTAATATTTTGTTGTATTTAACAATATCATAGTATAGAATTATTCGAAGATTTGTAGAATTAAATAGGTTGTCAAAATAGGAATTAGGTTCCAAAAATATTAGAAATCTAACTATTTGATTACGCAAAACCTATCTTTAACTTTAGTACTAAAACCCCTTTTTCTGAACAAAAGGATGAAAAAGATCCTATGATTTCTTCTTTGGGCCTAAGAAAGAGATTTCTTTTTTTTTAATGCACCTTTTGAAAAATGTTAAATAGTTGTTTTCAGTACATGTTGTGTTTTTTATTGCTCTTTTAATATTTTTTTAACATATTTTCAAATGGATATGTGCTGATATCACTCAATGCACTGTAAAGTCTTGCTGTATCGGAAAAATTGTATAGACTGTGAATGTCATGAGTAAGTCTAGTTGGATCGTAATATTTTGAATCACCCGCAATGTGGATGCCTTGTCATCTGTGGTCGAAGGTATATATAGCATACAGCCCTCGGGCAACTACATAGACAGAGAGTCTGAGGAACGCACACTCGACCCAGCCTTCAACTACAGGTAGCGCCTCAGATTCCGAGTCTGACAGCAGCAGCAATAATACTACCGTCTTGCGAATCCCAATTAAGGAGGAGGCGTGCAAGATGATAGACAAAAAAACAGCAAAATCAAAACAAACTGTCTGGGGTCCAACGGCGATAGTTGATGAAGCAACAGAACAGCAAAAGTGCAAAGTCGCAGGATGTTCCAAAGGGGACTACAAATACTCCCCCACAAAACACTGCGAATAAGAGATTCCCACCTACAAATGCTCCGCGCAAACTCAGTCAAGGACCTCAAGGAGACTGTCACAGGAATCCTTTGACTGAGGGCGACAAGGTTAGCTCCAGTACTGGAAAGTTTGTCTGGACGTGAAATCGACCGCTAAACCTGGGTGTTTAACACAGGGGAGTGGAGGAATGGCAGACAGCGGCAACAACAACGAGAACTTCCAGAGTTATTGTGTGATGGTGAGAGGTGCGGGTGATTTGCGTGTGTGGTGAATGCGGTGAAAGGAAGAAAATACAAAGCAATGAAACACAAGATATTATTAGTAATAATTCTATATAGATTTCATTCTTTATTGGGGTATTTCTCTTTTCTAATAAAAAACAAAATTACCTTTGTAATTTTGGGGTGGCGACAGAGGCCTGGTTAGTATAACCGTGAACGAGGGGTTAGAGCGCAGGAAGTGTACATTTCAACAACTAAACGACAAGTGAACGCAGAGGTTCTTGAAATCGCAGAGGATCGCAGTGATCGCCGAGGATCATTGTCGATTACTACTACTACATTTACAATTATTTCCAATGAGAGCAGAGTCTCGTATGTATCAAAGTGAGCTAACCAACAACAACCACCGCCCGGTGGCTTCTGCGCTCTACGGTCTCCGCCGAGGGAAGTTTGCCGAGGAGATGCCCGTTGTGTCAATCAGCATCTGTCTCGGGAAGTTGAAGGCCAACTTAAACACTGGGATTTCCGAGAAAAAAATCCCTCGCCCAGCAGAAGAGAAAACGGATACGAAGCCGCCATCTTATGCAAAAATAGCCAAGAAACATTATGGGGACGAAATGCACTACGCATTGATCGATACCATTAAAGGTTCAGACAACTTACCAAAAGACCATATATAGAGGAAATGGTCAATAATAAAATCTTGAATTACATCATGAAGGCGGTGATCCAATTCCTATCATGAGCAGCGGCATTAAGAAGAATTAAATTTTGTTTAAGCTTGCTGTTCATGCAAACACTGCCGTCCTAAAGGGGATTATCGACAAGATAAAACCCCCCTGGAAAATGGCAGCGTCAAGTTGGTGAGGAGGAGCGAAATTCCTCTCCTAACTAAAACGAAATTAGCCTCGCTTAACTAAAACGAATACGCCTAACTAAAACGAAATTCCTCGCCTAACTCAGCTTTGTTGTGCTGCTATTTGGGCGTAGGACACAATGATGCGGGATATAGTGATTACCACGCACATCTCTTGATTGTATTTTCGTCATATATCCCAGATCCTCATACTCCTTCATAAATTTAGCATACTGCTCGTAAAAACTTGCATCCTTAGATAAGCGACGCTCCAACGCAAAGAATCTTGATAATGCAATATTCAAGGATTCGGAAATCTTCTCAGGGCAGTTTGCAAACGGTAATCGCACCACAAACCATTCTCATTCATTGTTGTATTTTGGTTGAAGTGATTTTCACATTGTTCTTCTGCTATTGTCAACTTCTGATCTTCACAAACATTGTCTTGTACCCAGAACTTCTTTAATAAATCTTCCAGAGCACGATCATCTTCTCCGAAAACGGATAATCCCGATTAAATTGATTGATTGTAATTTTTTGGCAGATTAACTTAATTTGCCAAATTCTCGCCTGATCTCTGCTGAGACGACGAATGATTGCCCTGTGTTAGCGTCGATATTTTTTCTTAGAACCTTAACGTCTCTTCCTCTAAAAGAACAAGGTTGTGCTTTCAAAGTTCTCGTACATTTTGAAGTGGATATCTTCCACGTGTGTCCATAGTTTTTCAATTGCAGCCACTGTCTGACAGGAAGCAGCTTGGCCTGAACTGTCCCTTATTAAAGTTTGAATGGACTGCATAGGAGCCCTCTGACGTCTCACCAATGCGGTCACACTGCTGGTTGCAGTAAACTTGTTAGTTTGGTTTTGTACCCCCTCCCTTGTTGCCGGAAGCTGTTTGCGAGGCGTTCGTTCCTTGCCGCTTTTGATGTCAGCCTCGATGTTGCCGATTGTAATCCTATATTCTTCTCCAATGTTTTGGTACTCGTTACTGACGATATGGGGATGTGATTCTGTTGCAAGATCCGCTCGTATCTTGTTTTCATTGCGGTCGATATCCGCCCAGAGAGCTTCCATAAATAAATAAAATAAATATTTCAAATTCCTTACCACTGGCGGGTTGTGTATCCTTGGTATGTTTACAATTTCTTGTAATCTATCAAGAATCTTTATTTTCGTTGGTATCAATACATTTTGGATACCAATACAACTAGCAATAAATGCAAACCAATCGATTTGTTTCTTCATTTGTGCCATTGGCTTGCTTAAAATAAACACTGAAACCAAGATTATATTAGGTCAGTATATGCTGACATAGGAAAAACTATTAAATAACAAAGACTTAAAATATTATGTGTAAAAATGATGTTCTTTTGAACAATACTTTAGATGTTAACTTGTGGTATCATTTGCATTATAGTGCAAACAAATGACTGTAAAATGCTGAAAAGTAGCAATTGTGTATACACTTTTGGTGCGCTTCCGATTTCATCTATGATTCTCAATAAGAGTAAAAATAAATAACTTTCTTCCCAGAGGAAAACCGAACGCGCAACATTTTCCTCATTGAACTGAAAAGAAAATAAATTTCGAAGATTTTCATCATTGGTT